TTTTAGTACTTTTTTGATAAGGTTTGCTAAGGGTTTTTCAGTTTTTATTTACTCTTTCAAAGAACCAACTCTTCAATTCATTGATTCTTTGTATTGTTTTCTCAGTCTCCATTACATTAATTTCTGCTCTGTTCATTATAAGTTTCTCCCCTATACGAGCTGTAGGCTTGGCCTGCTCTTCTTTATCTAAAAGTTTGAGGTTCAGCATTAGGTTATTTACTTGAGCTTTCTCTGTTTTCCTGAGATGAATATTCATAGCCATAAATTTTCCTCTTAGCACTGCTTTCACTGTGTTCTACAGATTCTGGTATGTTATATTGTCATTAGCAATTAATAATAGTGGAAACTATCTAGTTTCTTCCTTAATTTCACCAGCGATCTGTTGGTTGGTTATTCAGCAGGATGTTATTTAATTTCCATGTAGTTAGGGAATTTTTGCAGCTTTTTTGCCATTAATTTCCAGTGATGCACTATTGTCTGATAACATGAATGGGATAATTTGAGTTCCTTTGCATTTGTTTAAGCATGTTCTATGGTCTAGTATGGAGTCTGTTTTGGAGAATTTCCCATGTGTGGCTGAGAAGAATCTGTATTCTCATGTTTTAGGGTGAAATACTCTGTAGGTATCCAAGTCCATTTGTTCAAAAGTTTGGTTAAGTTCTAATTTCATTTTTTATTTGTTGTCTAGTTAATCTATTTATGACAGTGGGATATGGAGAACCCCCAATACAATTGTATTAATGCTTATTTGGCTTTTCATGTCTGTTAATATTTGTTTTATATAGTTGGGTGTAATGATTGTATGATTATTACCTCCTCTTCTTGGATTGTTCCCTTTACCAGGATGTAGTACCTTCTGTGTCTCTAATCAGTAGGCTTGAAATTGTTTGGCTGCAAATAGAATAGCTACCCCTGTTTTTTTTTTTTTTTTTGGTTCCTGCCACATGGAGTACTGTAATTTCTTTTGGAATCAAATATGTTTCTTGTTTGCAGCGTATTATTGGATCTTGTTTCTTTATACATTATGTCAATTTGTTTCTTTTGATTGGTGAATTGAGACCATTCATACTCATGATCATAACTAATGTGTATTAACTTATCTTTGTCATGTTATTTTCCTGTTGTTGGCTCTCCCTCCACCTCTTGTTTGTTTGTCTAGCCTGGTGGATTCCTTCTGATGGGGTTCATGGAGTTGTAATCATTGTTATCTCTTTCTAGAATGTAGTTCTGGTTTGGTGTTCTTGAATTTCCTCAGGTGTTCTTTGTCATTGAAATACCTTGTTTCTCTATTAATTTTGAAAGATAGTTTTGTGGGTACATCAGTCTAGGTTCTTGTATTATTTTGAGTATTTTTTAAACAAATTTTGTTTTGTTTTGTTTTTGGTGCCAAGGACAGAGCCCAGGGCTTCCAGCTTGCTAATGTATTTGGTATAAGGTCTCACTGTATAGATTAGACTCATAGTGATCCTCCTGGTTTCAGCCTCCCTCGCTCTGGTATTACAGATATGTGCCATCACACCCCATCTTGTTGGCCAGCTCAGCATGCCTTGGGGCGGGGTCAGCACCATATGTACTGGGGATCGAACACTGTCCCTCTGCTTGCCTAAGCAGGTGCTTAGTCCTCTGAGCTATCTCGCTGGCCCTTGGGGTATTGATCTTATTTTCACACCTTTTCTGTAAAAACAAAATAGCAATAAAGAAAACTTAAAATTACTTGTAAATATACAATTTTTTAAAAAAGGTTTTGACTTGGCCACTTGGTATGATACATAAGCTATTACCTAAACCTTTCCTGGATCTTGATTCTTTAATAAAATTATGAGAAAATTGAAAACCTTACATAGTCTGACTAAAAGCATAGTTAGTTGGATTTCTTTAGAGGTAAGTGATTTTTGGTAACTAGTGTTTGGATCCAGAATTACAACAAGATGTTATGATTTAACTAAGTAAACCTAGCTTAGATTTTCATATGGTGGGTCATACTACTCATTTTCAAAGAAATCTTGGTTTAAACCAGCTAAATTGTGACTTTACCTTATTTTGTATTAACATATTAACTTATTTCCTGTTGTCCTTAATATTTTTTATTTTACCCACATTTATATAACAGTCTCCAAATGTCTAGCAACAAGAGTAAGGGCAACAGATATTTTTCTTCTATTAAAAAGATAATTATTTAACTTGCATGGTGTTGCTCACTTATAATTCCAGCACTTGGGAGGCTGAGGCAGGAGGATCACTGCAAGTTTGAGGCCATATTCCAGTTTGCTTTTTTAAGATAGATTCTTGAAATGCATCATTCATATTATTGTTCTTTAGTTTTGACTCAGGCTTTTCTCCTATTTAAGCCCATAATCAATTACTGTGCCTTAAAAATATGTTGGATAACTAGCTTGAGGCTGTGTTAGGCACATAATATATTCATGATTAGTAGAAAGAATTTTACTTTTAGTGTGTCTTCCCTGCTGCTTGAGAACTATGACTGTTTGATCATATTTGCTTATATAGCTGAAGTTGTGAAATTTTAAAATACAATATGCATATTGATATGTTTCATTACAGGCTAGTCAGGCAAAAAAGAATAATATGACAATTTTATTTTTTCAGAAAACTTTCGAGTTGCTTAAAAATATGAGTTGACTTTCATTAAATAGTACTTGGTACCTGAGTTTAAGTAACCTAAGTTCTCAATTAATGATCATCTTTTTTTTTTTTTATTTCTTTAGTCTCCTCGGGTGAAAGAATCATTATCAAATTCTGAGGTAAGCAAGATTACTGAATCCTTGCTAAAGTGTATATAATTTTGTTTTATTTTGATTTTAATTATAAGTACCCTTTTTTGTGTGTGGCTTACCTAAATTTTGTGTGTGACCTACCTAAATTCTGTATCCCATTCAGTATACAGAATGAGACTGTATACTGTCTATGTTCTAACGGTTATAATAAAGGGCCTAGAATGTTCTTCCTTATTTCTTTAACTTTATGACTTGCTTTTTTGACTTGTACTGTTTGAAATAGAATGTTGTCTTTTTGCATTAATCTGTCCAGGAATTAGTCATATTGCTACCTTTCCTTTTTTTTTTTTTTTTTTTTTTGCAGAACCGGGGATTGAACTCAGGTCCTTGGCTTGCCAGGGAAGCGCTTATTCCACTGAGCCATCTCCCCGGCCCTACCTTTCCTTTTTGATGTGTTTTTTCAGCCTTTTTCTTGTCAAAGATTCTGTTTTCAGTCCTTACTGGCTCAGTGTAGGAAATCCTACACTGATAGGAATAGGAAATCCTACTAAGCAGAACCCACTTAGTCCATGTGTATTGGCCACCTTCCTTGTGGCTGAGACATAATACATGTTACCCACATCTTAAAGGAGACATATAACTTAGCTCATGTTTTCAAGGAATTTAGTCCATGGTCAGCTGGCTCCAGGGCAGAACCATAATGGCTTATGGGTGTAGCAGAGCAAAATGGCTTAGCTCATGGAAATTGGAAAGCAGATCAGAGGACTAGCCAAAGGAACAAGGGACCAGACATAGCACTCAAGGATGGGCCTCCACAACCACTCAGACATACCCAGAGTGTGCTTTACTAATTTCCTAAGTGCTTCCCACACCAGTTAAAAATAATACAACTAACATTATCCACTGGGAGCCAGCTAGGCTTATTTTCACTACCTGAGAAAATGTCATTTCATGGTTTCATTGTATTCTTTCTTCTGACAGCACTTTCCATTCTCAGTTCATTATTGGTCTGTTTGTTTATTTAGTATTTAGTACAGGGTCTACGGGGTCTCACTACACAGATCGGACTCATAGTGATTCTTCTGTTTTCAGCCTCCCAAGCACTGGGATTACAGGCACGCACCACCATGCACAGTCTCAATCACCATCTCAGCGTGCCCTGGGGGCGGTGCTGGCATGGCATGCCGGAGATCAAGCCCTGGTCCCTGTGTCTGCCTAACCAGGCACTTTAACCTGCTGATCTGTCTGGCTGGCCCTCATTATTGGTTTATAAACATATACGTAGTATACAATATGCATATAGCATTATATACATGATTTGTATGGATAAAAGTATGTAAGACAAAATAAATTACCTATTGATAGTAGGCTTATATCTAACAGACTTACATTAACACTGCTGTTCACTAGTATTTCTGGCTGTTCTTGGTGTGTGATAGAATTATATTTTCCTAACTCCTAAAAAATGATGCATGGCCATGTCTTCTGTACAAGGAGAAGTTAGAAGGAAGTCATTGTTTTTCCTTGTTGTTGCCTTTACCCTGCCACAAGGACCTCATTTGTCCCTGAATGAGGGACAAACTGAGTTTGTTAGCCTCTGCTGGTCAGAGATACTCTTAAGTATGTGCAAGAAATAACTTCTGTTTTTTTTAATCTGAGAGTTTAGATTACATTTAATGTAACCTACCATTGACTAATTTGTCAGAAATTAGGTGAAAAAGTACTTGATAGATTATCCCAAGTTTTTATTTTTCTCCTGTGCCTTTGTCTGAATTGCATCTTCATGTGAGTGATTGCATGTTCATTACCTTGTTTTTTAAAAAATTATGATAACATTCACATAACAAATTTGCCATCTTAATAATTTCAGTTCTGTGACAGTGAGTATATTCATACTGCAATTCAGATACCACCATCATCTGTCTCTAAAATTTTTCCATCTTTCCAAGCTAAATCTGTGTCCACTGAATATTAATTCTCCATTGCCTCCTACACCTATAACCTGACAGTCACTGTTCTACTTTCTGTCTCTGTAGCTTGGTTACTCGGTATGCTTCATATAAATGGAGTCACGTAGCACTTGTCCTTTTCTAACTGGCTTATTTTACCTCACGGTGGCCTCAAGGTTCACCCTGTCGCATGTCAGAATGTTCTTCCATGGCCAGGCTGAAATATTCCATCACACCCGTGTATGTACGCGCACACACATCTTAAATTTTGTTTATCTCTCAACATTTGAGTTGCTTCTGCCTTTGGCTCTTGTGAATGATGATGTTGTGAACATGGGTGTATAAATATTTGTTCAAGACTCTGATTTCACATTCCTGGAAGTGGAATTGTTGGTAATACATAAATTTTGTGCTTAGTTTTTTGACGAACTCTTATACCATTTTATTTTTATTTTATTTTATTTTTTTTTTTGCGGAACCGGGGATTGAACTCAGGCCTTTGTGCTTGCCAGTGAAGCGCTTATTCCACTGAGCCATCTCCCCGGCCCTTCTTCCACCATTTTAGATTCCCACCAACATAGGAGTCTAGCTTTTCTGTATGTGTTTAATACTTTCTTTTATACATCCCTTTTATCTTTATTATAAATACGAGCAATGTATATGCATACATTTGAAAGCTAACTTTAAAGAATGACATTAATATTTATATTAACATTTTCTTTTTTTTTTTTTTTTTTTTGGGGTACTGGGGTTTGAACTCAGGCTGTTGTGCTTGCCAGGGAAGCACAATTATTCCACTGAGCCATCTCCCTGGCCCCTAATAAATATATATATATATATCTATATATATATGTATTTGGTACAGGGTCTATAGGGCCTTTAAAGGTCTCACTACTAGATTGGAAACAGTGATTCTCCTGATTCTCCTGTTTACAGCCTCCCAGTTGCTGGGATTACATGTATGCACCACCACGCCCAGTCTCAATTGCCCTCTTAGCATGCTCCAGGAGTGGGGCTGGCACAGCAGGTCCAGGGATCATCCACTGAGCAATTTGGCCAGTCCCCTTTTATTTTTTAAAAATTATTTTAATTTTATTGAGAAATAGCAATGAGATAGTTTCAAAACCAATTAGTAGGACAGTTTCAAGAATTATACATTGCATATTGTTGACTTAGTCATTATTCATTGTCTAAGACAGAGACATGATATCCTGTCCATAAACACTATTAGAACAAATCTTTCTATGCATTGAATTAATAGAAAATAGCTGTATATCAATACTGTTTTGAATATACAGATACAATATGGTGGTTCATTTGTATATCCTTTTTTTGTTTAGCTTTGTCAGAGAAGGGCATTACATTGTCATTTAAATATTGTAGGTGCATGAATGCAGCAAAATATTCCAATATAGTCCAGTAGTCCATAATAGTAGTGGATTATCTGTAGGACTGGCAATGTCAGAAGTTGTTGACTTGAGCCTTTTACAGCTCAGCATATTAATATGGCTTTACTTTTTATACTTCGTTTTTATACTTTTCTGCTGGATAGTTAAGACTGAGCTAGAGCAAGACCTATATAAATCCCCTCAGGCTTTATTCTGAAACCCTATACTGCAGTTTGTAGATCCTTTGTCAGTGTCTGCTATGTGGATGAGTCACCGCCATTGCTTGACCAATTTACTCTCTGTGAAAGCCTGAGAGAATGTTTTCTCTCCATGTGACTCTGCTTAGGCACACTCTACATTATCAATCACTTTCCTCTGTGGCCCCATAATCTTCTTGATCAGAAAACTTGGGACACAACTGAGTTACATGATGTTATAGTATAGATTCTCCTATATCCTCAGTCTTCACTGACCTTGAAAGGCTAGGGCCAAACTCCTTAGAAAAGTTGGATTGGAAATCCCATTTAAACCAGCTATTCCTCTACTGGGAATTTTCGCAGAGGATCTGAAAACATCATATCACAGTGATATATGTGTGCCTATGTTTATAGCAGCACAATTTGTGACAGCCAAATCTTGGAAACAACCAAGATGCCCATCACCTGAGGAATGGTTGAAAAAGATGTGGTATTTTTACACAATGG